ATGGCTGGATTGAGGTAAGTTACGGCCCGCGGCCCGCTCAACGCACTCACGTAGCGCATGTTACGATCGGTAATTGGCCTTCATGTAACTGTTATTGTCGGCTTTATGTGGAAAAGTTATAATTTCTAAGGATATTATGGTAGATGTATTACTTATATATATATGTATTAATAATATATTATATTATATATATAACATATAATATTACAATATTATATTATATATGTTAATTTATATATTATATAAATATTATAATATTAATTTACTATTAAAATTTTAATATTATATGTGTGTGTTGACGTTGTAGTGTGTAGTGTGATGTGTTGTGTGTGTTGATGTAGTATGTATACATATATAATATACCATATACTATTATTAATAAATTTATATATTATATCATAATCTTACATAGTATATTTTATATAATAATTTAAATATTTAATTATAATATATATATATATAATATCCATTTATATATATATAATATAATATATATTTAAATTATTATATATTATATATAATAACATATATAATAATTTAATATGGTATGTATTATGTCTGTATACTATCAGCTATCTCACAACACAACAATTTATTAAATTAGATATAATATATTATTATATAATATATAATTTATACTTTCTAATATATATAATATAATATATTATGCATATTATATTAACATACATACTTATTATAATACTTATCATTTATTATATTATTATATTTATTATCTATATTATCTACTTTACCTATATATAAATACTATACTATTTTATATTATATATCTCTTCTATATCATATATTTATTCACTATATATATCATATTATTTATATATGTATGCGATCTCACAACAACCACACAACACACAGATCAAACATCATAACACACACACTCTACTCACCACACATAACATCACACACACACACACACCTACACTTACAAACACACACACATCTACTCTACATTCTACACCTAATTACTATAATTCTCTATAATATATTTTTATTCTACTATTAAAATATATTAATCTAATATAATTAAATCTATACTTTTAATATTATATTGTTTTATTTATATATTTATATATATATATTACATATATAATAGCTACTTAATAATTATAATAATTATATATTCAATTTATATAATATTCTATGTATATACCTTTAATATATATATATATGTATATTATGTATATATATTCTGTATAATATGCATACTCAATATATATTACTACTTATGGTAATCTATATTATTATATATATATATATATTTATATTATATCTAGTTCTATCTCTCTTACTCATTTTATATATAATGAAATATATTATGTATATATAATATCTGTAAGTTATTATAACTATACGCATTCATGTATTAATCTGTTGAGTGTAATATTATATTTAAATATTATATATATATATATAATATAAATATTTTATTATTATATATTTAATATATATTATTTATATCTTAATAATATAATGTTATATCTCATAATTTTTATAATTTTTATTATTACATTTATTTATTTATGTTAATATATTTGTAATAATAATTGCATATATATAATATAAACTAGTATTGTGTATATGTATGGTTATGATTAGTGGTTGTGTATGTATGTTATATATTTGGTGATTGTGGATGTTGAGTGGTGATATATGTAGGGTGGAGTTATATAGTTGTAGTGGTTATAAGTGTATATATCGATGTAGTAGTATACCTAGTACCGCAATCAATAATATAATAAATATATTATATAGGGCTATACTTATAACTAATAGATCAATACTTCATATACTATTAGTATGTATATATTATATATATGAGTAGTGGAATAAACATAATATATACTATACTTTAGTACTAGGGTGAATATAGTATAACCTATATATATTGATTACACATCAATAGTGGTCGGCTGTTGGGTATCATCTGGCTCTCTCTTCGCCCTCGCAGCTCGTCTTTGGTGTCTCCGGTCGTCTCGTCGTGCGCTCTCTCTTCTCTCCTCCTCGTTCGCTGCTCCTCTACTCTCATCTCTATCTCTCTCTGTCTGCTCTGCTCTTCTCTCTCTCTCTCTTCTATATAGTACGTCATATATAACACTCATATAGGGCTAACTATAGTACGGCGTGATAGTATATGGGTGGTATAGGGTGTATGCTCCATCGGTATACATACTATAGATATATTAGGTTACATATATATATATTATAATATATATATATATATATAACATATATTACATAATATATATGCTGTTTATACTGGTATAATCTAGCGCGTACCAATATATATATCATACATATACCTACTCATAGTGATACATATATGTATGTATGATTATGGCATATATATATGCATGTAATATACATATAATTATATATATCTATAGGTTATTATGATACGTATATATATATATATATAATATATTATACAATATCATACTATATATATATATATATATATATATATATATATATATATATATATATATATATATATATATTATATATGTATATATATACATATATATATATATATATATATATATATATATATATATATATATATATATATATTATATACATATATATTTAATTGATTAACTGTTTTCTTTACTGGTTTATATTTTCTACAAAGCAAGTCCAAGCAGTTGTTTTCGCAAAGCAGTATATATGTGTGTGACAATAATCATGCTCATCAGCAGGTATGAAAACAGTATAAGATCATAAACGGTTGCCACTAAGCATTTTCCTGCACAGACCCTGCAGACCCAGAAACATTCCCTACAATTCCTTTCAGTTACAGCGTGCGGGAGATTCCTTGCAGGTTTCGCCCGCGGGAAATTTTGGTTTGTCTCGTCCCTTGGTCGCTCTCCTGGTGGTCGTAAGTCCAGAAGTGTTCTTTGCTTTCTCTCCTTCTCAATTCGTAATGGCAGCGCCAACAATAATGGAGATAGAATGGAAAATGATACATGAGTTCCTTTCATGCAAGCCTATAATACTATCTATTTTTTTTTTTTTTTGCTTTTGTTCCTGTTCTTGTTGTTGTTATTGTTATAATTTTCATCGACATTGTTATGATGGTTACTATTATCATTTTAGTATTTTCAATATTATTATCATTATACTTATTATTGTTATTATTATTTCCATTATTGTTGTCAGTATCAGCATTACTTCTCTACTCAATAGTATTTTATCATTATCGTTATTATTATAACTGTTATATAATTATAACTATTATCATTGACTATTATCATTATATAGTTTTACTATCATCATTGTATATCATAGTATATCATATCATTATTACTATTGTTATTATCATTCGCATTATTATATGTTATTCATTGCTATCGTTCTTTATTATTATTTATTTATTATTTATTGTTATCATTATTATTATTATATTATTATTATTATTATTATTTTTATTATTATTATTATTATTATTATTATTATTATTATTATTATTATTATTATTATTATTATTATTATTATTATTATTATTATTATTATTATTATTATTATTATTATCATTACTATCATCACTGTCAATACTATTACTATCATCATTACTATTATTATTACTAATCTCATTATTATAATATTTACTATTACTATCATCATTACTACTACTTTGCTAATAATGATAATAGTCATGATATTAAGGACAATGATGATGATGGCAGTAATGATAATTGTTATATATATATTATTATTATCATATTATTAATCATATAATCATTATTATTAATTGTTTATTTATTATTATATTATTATTATTATTATTATTATTATTATTATTATGTTATTATAATTATTGTTGATATATGTTATTACTATTATTATTATTATTACATTTATTTACTATTATCATTATCATTATTAATCATATTATTATTTATATTACTTATTATCGTTATTATTATTATTTATTATTATCAATTATATTATCATTATATATTATTATTATATATTATTATTAATTATTTTATTATTATTATTATTATTATTATTATTATTATTATAATTATTATTATTATTATTATTATTATTATTATTATTATTATTATTATATTATTATATTATCATGATTATTAATATCATCATTATTTATATCATCATTACTATTATTATTAGGCTTATTATGATTATCGTGTCATTATCATTATTATTATCATTACTATTGTTATTATTTATTCTATCTGATTCCTATATTTTTCTTACTATGATTATCACATTTTAATGATTGTTATTATTATTACTCTCATTATTAATTTTATTTTTAATATTGATATTATTTCTGTTGTAATTATCATTTATTTAATTATTCTTAGTATTTTCATTATCAATATTATCATTATCACTCTTACTATGGATATCATTATTGTTATTATGGTTTTCATTATCGTTATTATTATTACTATTATTATCATAATTATCACTATTATTATTATTATCATTATTATTATATTATATTATTATTATTATTATTATTATTATTATTATTATTATTTATTATTATTATTATTATTATTATTATCATTATTATTATATTATTATTATTTTTATTATTATCATTATTATTATTATTATTATTATTATTATTATTATTATTATTATTATTATTATTATTATTATTATTATTATTATTATTATTATCATTTTCTTATTACTGTCACTGCCATATTTTTTTTCTTTTTATATCATATTATAATTATTATCATTATCATTATTATTATCATCATTATCGCTTTTTGCTACTTTTGCTATTAACATAATTAGTCGTAACTTTGTCACTGTTATTATTGTTATTATCATTTCATCATTACTATCAATACTATTGCTGATATTACTATTATGATTATTATTATTACTATTAATATTATTACCATTATCATCAGTCATTGTTATTAGTATTTTCATTAATTATATTGTTATTATTGTTGCTGCTGTTGTTATCGTTACTATTATTGCTATTAACATTATTATTACCATTATTATCTTTTCATTTTATGATCATTATAACTATTATTACTGCTATCATGATTAATATTATCATTATCATTATTGTTGTTATTATTATTATTATCATTATCGCTATTATCTCATTATTATTATTGTTATTATTAGTACCATTAGTGTTAACATTATAATTATCATTATGAATATTATCATCATTGTTATCATTGTGATTTTGATTATTATTATTATCATTATTACCATTATCATTATAACTATTATCATTACCATTACTTCTACTACTACTGTTACTGCTAATATTATCATTGCAGTGTTAACATTATCATGGTAATTATTATCATTAACATTATTGTTTTGTGATTTTTTATCATCGATATCATTATTGTGACTTTTTATCATTATCATTAGTATTATCATCATCACCATTACCACCATTGTTAATATCATCATCACTACCGTTATCATCATTATCATTGCAATTATCACTATTAATACTATTGTTATCAGTATTATTGTTATTATCATTATCGTTATTAGAATCACTGTCATTATTTCCTCATTATTATCAATTTTATCATTATTGTTATTATTATTATTACCATTTTTTGAATTATTATCAACATCATTATCATTAGGATAATAATTACCATAATCATCCTCATCCTCATTCTCCTCACGAAAATTACCATCATCATCATCACCCTCACACTCATAAATTGCCCCAAACGCCATTTCCTCACTATTCCCATTACTCCCATCGCCCTTATGACCAACATCACCCTTCAGGATGTTCAGACACGTAGGAGTGGCGGCGCGAGGGGAGGTGTCCGTTTCCGTGCTGGAGAGAGCGGCGCACACTCGCCTTCTGCACGCTGTGTTCGAAGCCGCTCCTCAGGGTGTCATCCAGGCCTACTTTCTGATGAGGACTTACGTGTGTGAGTCTTGGCTGATGTTTTTTGAAAAGGGATGGATATCATTGTTGTTGTTATCACTGTTATTATTATTAGTAGTAGTAGCAGTATTTTTGTTATAATTCTTATTATCATTATTACTATTGTCGTTATCATTATTGTGTACATTATCATTACTATTTACGCTAGTAACATCATTACTCATATCATCATTTTTTTCATTAATATTTTTGTCATCACTACTATTGTTGTTATCATTATTATCATTATTATTATTATTATTATTATTATTATCATATTATTATTATTATATTATTATTATTATATTATTATTATTATTATTATTATTATTATTATTATTATTATTATTATTATTATTATTATTCATCATTATTATTATTATTTTAGCATATCAATATTTTTATCATTATTGTTATCATTAGCATTATTATTGTTATTATTATGATAATTATTATTATTATTATTATAATCATAATTATTATCATCATTATTATTATTGTCATTGTTATTATCATTATCATCATTCCTATTATTGTTATTATTATTATTATTATTATTATTATTATTATTATCGTTATTGTTATTATTATCATTATATTTTATTATATATTATTATATTATATTATATTATTATTATTATTATTATCATCATAATCATCATCATTATTGTTAGTATCATTATTTTTTTCTTATCATCATTATTATCAACATTACTATGACTTTTATTCTTACCATCATCAAATTATTGTATTCTATAATCACTTGATATTATTATAATTCTTCTTTTTCTTTTTCTAATCATTATAGGCATTATTACCATTCTTTTTATTATCATTGCTATAATCATCATTATTATTCACTATTATTATTATTATTATTATTATTATTATTATTATTATTATTATTATTATTATTATTATTATTATCATTATTATTATCATTATTATTATCATTATCATTATTAGTATAATTATTGTTATATCATTATTATTACTATTATTATTGTTATTATTTTTGTTGTTGTTTTTATTAATATCATCATTATCATTATCAGTTCAATTTTTAGTATTATTATCATAATCACTATCATTATTATATCTCTTATCTTTTTTATCATTATTATTGTTTTTATCACTGATAACAAAAATAAAGAGAGTAGTAATAATAATAATAAATGATGATAATAATGGTATAACTCCTCCGCATCATTATTCATTACTATTCCTATTAACACCACAATCATCATCATTATCACTGCCATCGTCATTATCATATATATGGCATTCCCGCGCCTCTTTGTAAGCGAATGACCACTCACCGCAAGGTCCGCAGGGTGGGTGCCTCTGCTGAGCGTCTGCATCTCCCTCGCCAGCGCCACCTTCAGCTACACTTTCTTCGTGGTCTACAAGTACTACGACAACGCCAGGGAGTTCCCAGCGCCGTGGAAGGTCCTGCTTGTGGCACTCAACGCTTTATTCACCAATGGTAAGTCGAGGGGTTGTTTCTCGGCGGGAGAGATGCGCTACGTGTGGCGGTCGTGGTGTTAATGGCGATAGTTATGATGGGAATG